ACAAATGCAGTCGCATAGCAGGATGCTGTACACGGGCCAAACTTCAGTCAGGAGAACAACTGAGATCATTCATCCACAATACGAGGTTAGTCATTAATATACTGCAACAACATGGGAACAGAACAGCTGCGAGAGAATTCAACATTAATGAATCAATGTTATGGAAGTGGAGGAAGTGCAGTTTTCAGCTTTCCCCATATTTCAACAGTGCTTCATCTCCTTGCTATGACTGTCGTCCGCCATAATTTGCAGATGATAATTGTTTTAGCCGCTACGATGCTTTCAACCAAAACCGGCGCAGCTTGATGACATCATCAACATGCGCTATCGCGATAGAGCGGTATAGTCAAAATCTCTATCGTTGGCCAAATTTATATGGTTTCTATCGCCCACCCCTAGTCGTGTGCTGCTGTTGGAAAAACAAGGCTCAGTACTGTAACACTTCCCCCACATGCTGCATGTCTAATTGTGTTGACATGGTGACGACTGAGCTCTACAGAGTTGCAGTTTAAACAAAGGTAAAAAAAAATATGCATGCATGTAACCGAGTTATTTGAGTTACTCAATGCATTGCTGCAGTCCTAGCAGTCACACACAGCAGACCTCTTTGGAATAACGCAGCCCTTGTATGAAAGGAGCTGCCAGATTTACCCAGAGACCAGCTGCCCTAACCTCCAACACTTCTCTACTGCAGAGTCCTTTATGTTCCATGTCACAGTTCAGTACGTCACCAGATGGTGGCAGTGCAGCTGGTTCAGCGGCAGGCCGATACTCACCATCTCTATGACCCTCTCTGCCTCGTCCACACTCTCTATGTCAAAGCGTCCAGCAGGAGCCTCCTCCATCTGTCTTTTCAGCTTCTCGTTGGCCTCCGCCATCTGAGGGAGGAAGCTCTGCAGCCGGTCCAGAACTGATTCACAGGGAAAGACCCGCACACACACACATCACTAAACATCACTCTTATGCTTTTTGGTAGATCAACCATCGACCAACTTGTCACTAAAAAGAATGCTTGACATTCTCACCGCTGCTTCTGGGGACTCTCTCTGTCTGCAGTGATCTTCCAGCTTTTGGATTGAGGAGAAGCTTCTCACTGAGACCTAGCAGCACAACACACAGATCAGTTACTCCTCATGACCAAACTTATGCTCCTATATAGGGCTGCCACGATTAGTCGACTAGTCATGATTACTTCGACTATCAAAAATTTAATAGTCGACGCGTTGTTTGAAGCTTTGAGATCCCAAAAGACGCAGGAATAAGTAGCAGGATTTAAGAGTGTAATAACGGACTGAAACAGAAGATGGCAGCTGCATGTACAAGGATGTCAGCTGCCATTAAACCCCGAAGAAGAAGAAGCTGTGTCCCAGAATTCATAGCGCAGCCCAGCTTAGTTTCCAACAATGGCGGCAGCTAGTTAGTTTTAATATTACTCTTATTATTCTTTCTGGGTCACAAAATAAATGTTTAACATATTTTCAGGCGAGAATGTAGCTGTGTAAACCTCAAATATCTGCTCAGTTTATCAGGACACCACATATTTTCAAAAGCGCTCCGACGTTTTCGGAGACGTCTGTTACCCACTAGCTCGATAGCTAGCCGGGGGCTAGGTCACTAGAGCCGGTGAGAACACCGGACTCCCGGCAAATGGTTGTCAGACCCACCGCCGTCTTTCACTACTCAGGTTAAACATGATATATGAGTCACTTAGATAACTTAAAATGTTGTTGTTTGCCTTTTTTCAGTGTTTTATTTGTTCCTGAGTAAATCTGTTTGGCTGAGATTAAAGTTATAGTTTTTACACAGCTGAATAAACGTCAAGCAGACAGCTGATTATCAGAAGTGTGAGATGCTCGAGAATTTACTCCGGTGTCCTGTTATATTTTAGAAAGCAAGGAGTTTATTAAACTTCACCCAAACAATCTGCAAATTTCATTAAAATTAATAAACTACCATCTTGTCTTTATTTTTAGTTAGCACCACAAACACTTAAAGCTGTAAGCTAATGATAGTTATATAAGAGCAGATGCTGCTGGTGCAATAAGCTGTACTTTTACATCCAATGGATGATGATCTGATTAGTCGACTAATCGCAAAAATAATCGGTGACTAGTCGACTATCAAAATAATCGTTTGTGGCAGCCCTACTCCTATACTGCGGGAAAAGAAAGACACGTTTCTCATGAGTGGGTTAATGTGTAGAAATCCTTTCAATCTTTTAAATACAGCAGTTGTGGCAACACGTCCCTGATAGAGGTCCCTAAGAAAGTTAGTGAAATGACCATTCTGTGTAGCTAAGATTTGGGTTTACTCTAGTCAGCACAATGATTAATCTAAATCTGGAAAGCTGCAGAGAAAGTTGCCAAAGTGAGAAATAATTAGGCATCAATCAGTCTATCCGGATGGACCACAAAGTTGGGTCACAGCAGCAGCAGGGAGGATACTCCAAATGTCCTTCTCCCACCCAGTGCTTTCCTCCCAGGGGAGAGTTGGATGACATACCACACTCTAATTTATAATGTGAATCCACATATAGACAAAAAATAAATAAAAACAACAGAAAAGGAAAATGCAGACTTTGACATGGTGTGTGAAGATTGGTTTCTCTAATGTCTCTAACGGCACTGTTACTCTAACTGACAGACATCAACAGAAACCTCCAACTAAACATCGCAGAAACATTATAACCTGATTTACGGGGCATTAAGTGAAAGAAGTCACTTTTACCCAGTGTGGAGTCTTTGCCTGCGTTTGTGGCTGACATGTTTCTCTACATTCAAAAACTACCATCACAATTAGAGACTGTCCGTTTATTTATAAGTAAAAATGTTTTTCCCCACGCTGTAAACACGTGATCCGTGGACTTTGTTTTAACTTCCATTAGTCTAAGATGGGTTTATTTGTTATAAAGGTCGACTACGTTTCAATTAAGGACTCAACATGACCTGCAGAGTCACAGCACTGAACTGTGGCACTAAAGTTACCGAGTAGGAGGAAATCAGGGACCGCAGTTTTTTAGGACCGTGTTTGCACGAAATCTTTAGGTAATAACTTTGTTTATATGACGCTGGCAATGATTTAACTAAACGTGTAGTTTTCATTACTCCATGTAGCTGCTTACATATATAGTATTTTACAACAAAATACTGACACAGAAGCTGGCTTTCCTGTACGAATGTGCAGTTTAGGCTCTGTACTTCTTCCCAGTCCAACTCTCCTGACATTTTGACAAAACAGAAAGAAATAAAAAGCATCCAAACCTCCTCCGTTACCACACGACAGCAACGCCTGCGAGCTCGTTGTCTTTACGTTTAATTCCATGTTAGATTTAGAGAGGACACGATAATGTTTTCCTCCACATGTGGGTTTTTTTTTTTGGGTCCACATCCGTGTGAAAGGTAGGGACAAAGCTTGTTTTAGGAATTATACAGCGCCCCCTGGTGTTTGGGATGAACTCTAGCGTTTACACACACATTCCAAGCTCCTTACTACACTGCCAAATATTTTGGTTGGCTTTTCATACCTGGCTTTATTCCAGTGGGATTCAAATGACCCCATTTACCTGAAATATGATAATGTTTGGAGTGTTTTTGAAAGAAAAGAAAGCAAATTATGGTGTTAATGTGTTATTAATCTTGTGCAAGCAATTTCTACATAAATGTCGTTTTTTTAAGACCAAACCAACACTGGCTCACTGGAAAAACGACTTAAACCTGTTGGTTAAATCTTTGACTTTAGTTAAAAAGAAAAAGGCTGCTTTTTTGTTTCCTTTGTGGAAGATTTTGATTTAGTGAGTTAATAATCTGTTAAATTATGTGACCCCATCTTTATATTTTCTTTTTCCTGTGTATGAAAGTTGCTAATATGTAAGGAATGTTTATTCTCTGAATGTGTAATATATGGTGCATTTTTTTGTATGTTAATTTTACTAATAAAAAACAAAACAAAACAAAAACCCAACTACACACTGTTAGGTGTAAGGATTACGCACATCCTCCAGATGGGGACCGAGACTGTCAGGTTTAAACTCCCCAGCTGATAGACTCGGCTTACCTGCAATTAATACTACCAAAACTACCACTATGTAATGTGGGTAATACAATAAAAATTATATCTGAAAGTTTTGTTCTAATCCGCTGAAGCCAGCTGATGTTTTATTCTATAGCAGTAATGTTAATGCAGTCGAAGATTAAAAGTGCATTACTTAATATAGATGTGGGGAAAACCATCCCATTTGTCGGACATACTATGTCTTTGGATCTGTAATCAGGTCAACCCGGATTTATAACTTCTGGTAGCAGGCGTTGTTTTCAAACGGAGTCGCTCGTCGTGTCGCGTAGACGATCTTGGTTGGCCAGTTTCGCTCTGACGCGGCTCTCTGGCTGGCTAGCTGTCAGAGGAAAGGACTGGCATCTCCTCTGGGTGGAATTTCTTCACAGTGAAAACGTATGTCAAGGATAAAAACAACGGTAATGATAATCCTTAGCACTGAAGAGTTATATATATCTTATCTACTTGTAATACTGGCTGACTGTGGCCACCGTATTCTCCCGGTTTACGTTTAACGCTGGGTAAGTAGGCAGCCGACGTGCCTTCTACTGTTTTGATTCCTCCACAGCTAGCTAGCAGCATTTCCGTGTTATGTGGCGACCATAAACATATACACAACCAGCCTGTTTGTGTCAAGTTCCTGTTTGGCTAAATGATCCATGAATGGCAGCTGTGGTGTGAGACGGCGCTGAATAGGATGGTGGTAATAAATGGGCCTGAACAGTGGCAATTAAAAAAGTATGAAAACTGTCGTCTCGAGAACATTTTACCAACGAAACGCAGATAAACTGGAGACACCGGAACAGCAGCAAATTGTGGAAGAACTTTGTGAACATCCTCGGTCGGTACATTTAAAGAAGCAGCTCGGTGGACCTCGGATTCAGGGAAGCAAATCTCCAAAAGTTGGTTCTGTTCATCTGGACGCAGCGTTTTGTGGGAGAAACGTTTCGTCACTTGGATGCTAGCTCGGGTTTAGTTGGTCAGCCCACAGCAGCGACACTAGCAGCTAACTTCTACTCTCTATATTCATCGTCATCATCGTTTCAAACGAGACGTGAATGACAGGAACAGGCTGAATTGTATTTCCGGTGCTCTTTGGGATGCTTCTCAGCTGTTCCTGTTCATTTCTTTAATTTTCTAACTGGTAGCAGTCCTTTAACAGAAAGCGTTGTTGAGGTGAGCAGTGATGCTGGCACTGATATATCTGTGATGGTGATCCAGTCTTGGGATTTCTTCCCGTCGTTGCTTGATGATGTATTAAAAATAAAGTGTTGTATGTTACAGCAGCTTCAGCACAATCCTTCCCTGCAGTAATGACACGTACGCTCTAACGTCACCTCTTGTTTCTCTGCATTTCCACTTTAAGAAGCGTTTGTTCCTCTGTATCACTTACTGTTGTTTTGTCTTATACATATCAGCAGCTGGCAGATATCCCTCTTCTCATTTCATTTCGTGTGTGTTTTCTTTAGGCTGATGAATCCCTGAAGCTCGCTTCGACCGCTCGCTGCCTGGACACCGCCCTCAGACCGGATGACAGGAGATGAGACACTGGAGCCCTGGACCACATCATGAGCATTCAAAGCCTACAAGGAGCTATAGGGGAGTCTCTTGGCTCTAGTCTCACAGTGCGCATGAGTGGAGCAGGTGGTGGGTGGAACAGCCTCTCCCTGAAACCTGTTTCCCCGGGGTGGATCGCCTCCATTTTCCACACCATGGTCCCCACCGGTTACACCAAACTTCAGGAGGAGCGGTTGGCCATGGTGGACCTTGGAGCTAAATCTGAGGCCAACTCACTCCAGAACGGGTACAGACAGGAGACGTCTCATATAGAAGGTAGACGGGTTCTGGACCGGGCCTCTCGGGCCTCGTTGACTTTAGCAGACTGTGGCGATGGAGACTGCTCGGAGACGGAGCCTATGCTCACTGAGAGGAGGCTCTCGGGTGAAGAGGCAGATGGGGAGGAGGAAGAGGAGGAGGAAGGGCTGGGATCGAACACGCAGAATATGCCAAAGGAGTCAGTGCTGGCTATGGCATTTCAGATTTTGGTGCCTTTCCTTCTAGCCGGATTTGGAACCGTATCAGCTGGAATGGTGCTGGATGTTGTGCAGGTAAATTGAGCAACCAGCATTATTAAACCAGTCAAAGCAGGCTGGGATTAAAGGCTCATTCAACTTCCTTACAAATATGGGTTTTGTTCAGTTTTGCTCTCTGTGACTGTGGAACATAGTAGCACAACTGCAGCGAAGTTACCAAGGCTGGGAAGTGTTGTGCTGTAAAGCTACATTTGAAAGTAGTAGTCACCCAACCCCACCAGGCTGCAGTAAAAGGACAGTGTTGGCTGAGGTGGAAAAATAACTAAAGTCATCAGTCACTGCTGTGACCTGTAGTGCTGACTAATAATGATCACATTATCCAAACCTTCCTTGGGTTATATGCTGGCAACCAAGCTTGATATGACTGTAATCTCACCAGGCCGCTCTGCAACGGCGTTGTTAACGGCACTCTGTCATATCACATGTTTAAGGTGCACGTCTGTGAGCAGGGTGTTTTACATAGAAGTCCCAGGTTGGAGACGGGGACCTCTGTTCTACTTCTAGAATTTCTAAACCGTAGTTTTAACTTCAGTGTTTCTCTGTGAATGTATTGAAGATTTTAACGTAGAAACGCAGCGCCCACTCGAGCGTGGTCCTGCCTGCAACCCTTTCCGTTTCTGCACATTTACATTTTTTGGGTGAAACCATCTGTCAGACGGTGGAAGCGTGAGCCAACGAGCTGGAAGAGTGCTGCTCGCGTCCCAAATGTGTCCTTCATGCAAACGTGCAAGCTTTGCTGTGGGCAGTCAGTAAGGTGTGAGGAGAAGAGTTTCTTGCTTTGCTCAGCTGACATTACGGCAGTCGTGTTATCCCTGTTGGCAACATCTGACAGAATTACGAAGCTTTAAAAGAAAAGTCTGTGAATGCTGCTGGATTTACTTCACTGCTTCACAGCTAAATGATCCAGTTTGCCTTATCCTGAAAACACAACATGTAAGTGTGAAGTTCAGTGATAGCCAGAAAAAGCAAAGTGACTTTCTGGTGTCTGCAGCACTGGGAGGCGTTCCAGTACATCACAGAGATCTTCATCCTGGTACCCGCTCTGCTCGGCCTCAAGGGAAACCTGGAGATGACTTTGGCCTCGAGGCTGTCCACAGCGGTGAGACACACACACACACACACACACACACACACGCTCTGTAGCCCGTTCCACTCTAAGACCCCAACACAATAGCATCTTTATGTGTAGTAATAGTAAACAACACCCTAAACTGAAGAACTGTCATTCTTTCTTGTAATGCACTTGTGGTTGTGGAAGCTGTGTCACTGTTATTCCGTCTTCACATTCGATGTTGTTGTAATCAGACGTCAGGCTGCTTTGTCCTGCGAGCTTGTTGTTTCCCTCTCAGAAGGACGGAGTGGTTTCCCGTCAGCCTCGTGCTCGTAGCTGCTGTTCGAGGATCACTGATGGTGCAGTGATGTCACTGTGTGTTTGTGTACGTAGTTGCATCGTTTTTGTGGTCATGACTCACCTCCACAGAGCCTCTAACTGTGATTAGGTGTTCATCATCCAGCCCAGTCTGGAATTATAGCTCCAGTGCCGTCGACGCTGTGCGGTGAACACCACAGGCTTATGTGCCCAGCTGTTACAATGACTTTGGGCGTTTCCACGTAAGAATTACTTAAAGTGTTTGAGAAATAGTTGGAGTCAGGAGGAATTTGCTGACGGGGAGTTGGGCGAGGCTGTTGCAGCCAGGATCAAATGGTCCGACGGTGAATTGTTGCTCTGCTAAAGAGGGTGAGCATGTGTTTGCACCCTGTCCCATCAAACAGGCTCTCCTTCTGTCCATAACCTTACTCGTTGCAGTCCTGTTTGTCCAAGTAGAAGAGGTGACTGAGCAGAATTCTCTCTTTGTTGGTTTTCAGCTCTTCCTGCTCCCCACGCACAAGCTCCACATTCACAGCGCTGTGTCAACATAGAGAGTGGAGCGTAGCATGAGCCAAGTTTCCTCAGCGGTGTCCCAAAAACAGTTTGTCTTCATGTTACTGTTGCTCTGCTCAGCTGCTCTGTCCTGCAGTGCTGAGAAATGCAGGAGGACTTATGACAGTTGTTGCATGTGTGAAGTCACACGTGATTTCAGAAATGTCATTACAGTTAATTGAATTTGTTCACGTTAGTTCAGCTAAGCATCAGAGTGGGACAGACAGGTGGTCAGTAAGGCACAGGTGCCCACATATGAGCAAAATGACTGTAGGCCACAGAAAAAGGTCTTTTCTTTGTGCAGTGCAGAGCTCACTCAGAGTGAATCCCAGCTTCTCATCTTAGAGCCACAATTTACAGAAGTCCCCTAAACATGTCACGTCCAGGCAGTGTGAAGTTACTGCTGTGAAAGAGGACGGCTGAAAAGATGCACTCACAGGAAATGTGCCTGATCATAGCAACAACCACTCATCCAAACAGTGAGTCTGCAGTCACAGCTAACCAAGGTAATTACATACAGATACAATGTTCTTCCACAGAGCTTTACATCATCTGAGTGATACAAGAGTGTGAACATTTTGTGCCGCTATTGTGTTATGTGTCACCTTTATGACATCTCCTCACAGATGTGCGAGACACCGCGGACAGAATTCCTGAGCTGTTAGTGGGATACAGAGTCGGATTATATCTTTGTTCAGTTTTACTCCAGTTATTGGCAAAACCACATTGTTGAAAATGACTAACGATGTTCTCATTTTTAAAAGTGTGTGTGTGTGTGTGATACATGTGATCAATCACTCATACACAAAAAGGTTAGACCCATGAAAGCGCTCCATCTCTGGTAAATGTCATCAGGTTTTATCGTCACGTCACGTGTGCAGGTACACGTGTACAGCACATGCAAGTGTGCGAGCTCCACAAGCAACAGAGGTGTGCAAAAGTACAATAACACAAGAACAAGCAGAATATAGGAATGGCTAAATCTGAGAGTTATATGAATAATATATGGACAATATAGGAGTGCATTACTGAATATGTATATGTGTGTATGCAAACCAAGTGGCATTTCTATACAGTGTGGAGTGCACAATGTTGAAGTTGTGGTAAGTGAAGGTGAGGTGTCTGTGAAGTGTTCAGCAGCCTGATGGAAAAAGCACATCTTCACATTCATAGCAGTAAATGTGTTTGTGTAGCACGGATGGTTCAGAGTGTGACGACTGAAAAGGCCAGACCCAGTGTTTGTGTTAGTCTTTGCTTTTAAGTCTATTTGTTACACCCGGGAAGTTTAGTACTCTTTGGTTTTTGCAGGGAAACCCACAATATGAAATACTGGGATTAAATGGGACCACTTTTAAGTTTCTAGCATTTAATCAATTTAGTGTCAATCCTGGAAAATAAGTGGCATTTCCAACACAGGCTTTACTCTGTAAAATAACTCTTCCCATCCCAACTCAGGTCAATGTGGGCAAGATGGATTCTCCCATCGAGAAGTGGAATCTAATCATAGGGAACCTGGCACTGAAGCAGGTAATGGCTCACAGTGGCTGTCTCATTGTAGAGAGAACACTTTCATATAAAAACGAATCAATCCTGCATCCTTTGCATGAGCATGAGCTGCAGTTTTATTCGTTTCTCTTCCTTTTTACTGGGAGCAGTTTTTAGAAACACCTTTTACTCAGGTGTTTTTTCCCTTTTTGGTCATGACAAAAAACATTAAATTGTATTTTATATGTTGAATGAAATATCACAAATCTTTGATAATATTAATGCAGTGCTATGTCTAATATCCAGTGTGTATATGTTGACACGGTGCACGGACCGTGCAGGTGTTTATTTAGACCAAAGTCTTTGGCTGTGTCGTAACACCGAGTGCAGGCTGTGTTAATATCTACCTATGTACGATAAACACACCACAACATGACGTATGTAATGATAAAGCTACACGTCCTGCATGTAACGTGTCACCAGGAACTATTAGGGAAAAATGGACGTGCACGTGTTGCTGCTAAAGCTCACTTTGTCTGGATCATCTCCTGCCTCTCTGCCCCAGGTTCAGGCCACTGTTGTGGGTTTCCTGGCGGCCGTAGCAGCCGTGGTTCTTGGTTGGATTCCAGAGGGGAAGTTTCAGATGAGCCACGCTGTTTTGCTCTGCTCCAGCAGCGTGGCCACGGCCTTCATAGCCTCCCTGCTGCAGGGTAAATACACACAGTGTGACGCGGTATAAGCTGGTAATGCTGCTGCTGCTTCACGTCAGGCCTTTTAACACGCACGTTTTCAGTTGCCTATAATGTGATGGCTGTGAGTAATGTGCTTATCCTCTTGATGTCATATTCAGGTATCATCATGGTGGGGGTAATTGTGGGCTCGAAGAAGACGGGGATTAACCCAGACAACGTAGCCACGCCCATTGCAGCCAGTTTTGGTGACCTCATAACCTTGGCGATCCTGGCCTGGATAAGCCAAGGCTTGTACAAGTGCCTGGGTAGGTCCTACCTTTACTACACTTGCATATGTTCTGACCGCATTACAAGGAGCCACTTTGTTTCACAGTCAGCCAATCGGCTCGTTATATTCATAGAACCCATATATTACTGATCCATACTGTGTAGAATTAGGACACCTGTTCTGAAGAACCTTCCGCCTCCACCGAGCTCTGTTCAGGCTGCTGAGCCCATCATGAAAACATCGGCGCGTAAATAAAGGTTATTGGCGAGCACAGAGGGTGTGCACTTTTAGTTTTACCACAAATTATTAAGAGTGTATAAAATTGTACCTGTGCAAACTTCAATTTTATTTCTTAGCGCCAAATCACAACAACAGTCGCCTCAAGGCGCTTTATATTGTACAGTAGATCGCACAATCAGGTGAATACAAACGCACCTGAGGGGATTATATCAGACATCACAGCCAAGTAGTCTTTGGTCTCATCTGTCTGTCCACTGACGGCACACATGCTTACATGATAAAATGTCTGTCTTTGTGCCAGTTTATCTGGTAAAAGTCAGTGTGAACATCCATCCGTGCATTCGCCGCACACAGTGATGGAGCTCCATCGCTGCGTATCCAAGGCTGGGTTGTAGAGCCCAGATGAGCCCGACTGAAAGATGTAATCTCTCCAGCGTGTCCTGGCGCAGCCTCCCCCACAGCCACACTTTCCTTCAGCCAAACTTTTTACACCAACATTCTCCTTTGAATATCTTCTTAGGCTCTTGCTTTACTGATGGAATAAGAGAGGATGTCAAATGTACTTTCTTTTGAATAAACTTGCAGATGTACTGTATGGAGATGTGCATTAAAGGGCTCACAGTGACTGCCTAAGAGCCCTCATGCATATGATCATTTATTAGTGGGCCATCACATGCATGAATGCACCTCAGAGTGTTTCAGTCTGAGTGCGGATGTTTAAATTCAGTCATAATATCCAGTTCAAATATGCTTCATGTGGTACTGTAGAGTCATACACTCCCGCAGTCGGCCAGCAGGGGTCCTTCCTGTCTCACTCTGTAAGAACATCAGCCTCCAGTTTCAGGACAGACCATCTCTCTTCCTCCTGACATGCGCTCCACATGTTTAATTCATGTGACAGCAGACCTGTGCTGCACCACCTTGTATTACTCAGTGCAGCCACATTAGAAGCGTTTTCCTTTGGAAACCATCTCATGCTAACTAAACCCGTCAGGTCTAATTGCTGAGCACAGATGTTCTCCATTATAAAAGGAATAGTTTAGTGCTGGGAGCTAAATTTCTTAAGCACACTTCAGATTTCCATGGCAGGGCAGTGAGGCTGTCTGGCTGTGTCGCTCACACTGGCTGTCTTGTTTTTGAGCCCAGCAGACACCTGCCCACTAAACTCAAGCTAACGGTCAGTTTACTCGCAGATGATAAACTGAAATCGCTCGTCTGTCTGTTCTCGTAAGAAAAGCTAAAGCGAGAGTCATTTAGAGGCACTGAGGGAAACAGCCAAGTAGAGACGCAAGCGAGACATTGCAGCTGTAGGAATCATGTGGAGTCCTCTTGGGTTTATTTATAGTGCTGTTAACCAACAGGATTGTTACAGAGTGCTATACTGAGAGGGCTCAACAATAGATGAGAGCAGCGATAATGTGAGTGTGAGATGAAGCACTAACACCAAGAAAAGAGCCCAGAGTTTATGCACAGGTTGTGTTGATACATCGCACAAATTAACAGATGGGTGTGTACATGCCGGCTGCATGTAAACCTGCAGAAAAGCATTCAGTGCAACACGGTGCACACCCATGACACGAGGAAGCAGAACTACGATCTAAATGAGTGGGATAAAGGCTTTCTCCTTATATGTGAAACAGTTACATTAACGGGTCCAAAGGAAGGTTGGGCTTTGGCCCACAGTCAGCTGAGACTGCTCACGTGAAAGCTGCTGTAGGTTCACCTTTAGATAAGCATGAAGAATTCATCAGTCTGAGTCTTTTCTTTCTGAGTTGTCTGTTGTGAGACAGACGCTGCCATAGTGCAGGACTTTGTACTCTATGCACCCACTCTAAATGACAGTTGTCCTCTTTCTATATATTTTTCACACTGACTTCAGTACAGTGAAATGCTGCAGTCTCATCCACTTCACCTCATCTATGATAGACGTGAGTCGGACTTGAAACAGTTGAAATAACAGAAGAAGAAAGCAGTTCTTTTGTTTGGTCCCCACCTGCTCAGGTAACCTCGCCACCACGTCTCTTTGCAGGCTCCTTCTTGTTAAACAGGTTTTCTTGACAGCAAGAAAGCAGAACACTTTCTTCTTCTCATTATTATTATTTTCTGCTTGCCCAGTTCATGCTGGGTGCACGACTAGCATCTAAAAACACGGCTGTACTTATCATCACTCTTTGGAAACACCATTTCTTTCCCAAGCATTAGAAGAATGGAGCCATTTAGATAGCTGGCAGCTGCTCCGTCCCTCTTCCTGGCAGAGTGTCGTAGCAAAATGTATTCCTTCAGGGATGGGCAGGAATATCAATTGCTTGCTCGCAGGTTTATTCACCGAAGCAAGATAATTATTGACACGTGCAACGTCTAAAGGTAGAAGAGTCTAACTGGGACTTTGCCTGTTAGCCAGCTTACTTAGTCTACGTTAACTTGGTGCCACATTCCCAGAGGCTGCTGTGGGGCAAGGCTCCGCTCCAGATATGACTCCGTTTATCTGTTTCACATTTTAAAATCCAAGGCCTACTAGAGCCCGTTGTATCCTGAGCTGGACACCACGCCCTTTCTTTTCTTTAGACCATCAAGATAGTAAATGTGGGACTGCTTGCTAATGACAGTTACTGAGTGCAGGAAATGTTGGAAACATCTGGTGGTGGCTTCATGCAGGTGCTTTAGTCTAATTACCTCTCCAAAATAACTGTTATATTTTAGTTGAAACAAAGACGTTTACTGTTAGAGCAAGTGAGAGAAAATATTCGGTGTGTATTTACTGGATGGATTTAGGACTGGATGCCAACGGGCAGAGTCAGCCACAAGTAAAGAATCTTCATTCCTTGGAAAAAAGTCCTGTTTGTGGTGCTGAACCATTGTTCCAGCAATCTGGACGAACAGAATCAACATGTTGGGATTTTCTTACCCGGGTCATTGAGACGTTTCAGGTGTTACTCAGTTTCACCTGAGCAGTTTTGATTTATCTGTTTTGATTTTATATACTGTTTTGTTTGTTTGTTTGTTAATTAGTTAGTTAGTTTATTTGCTTGTTTTAATCAATTTTAAATCCTGCTTTTTATTTGTTCTTGTTTCTAATGTCTCTGTAAAGCACTTTGAATCACCTTGTTGTTGAATTGTGCTGTACAAATAAACTTGCCTTGCCTGAGCAGGAAACGGACAGAAACTAAAACCCAAGTGTGTCTCCTCTGCAGATTCCTATCCGTATGTGTCCTCGTTGGTTTGGGCCTTCTTCATGTGTCTGACTCCGCTGTGGATCGTCATCTCCTCCAAGCACCCCGCCAGCCGCACCCTGCTCTACTCAGGATGGGAGCCCGTCATCACTGCTATGGTCATCAGCAGGTGTGTGAGTGTGTGTGTTTAGTCTTCTGAAGGAAAAAGAACAGCTGTCCCGAGTCTGCACCTCCCAGCGTCTGGTTTGCATGATGACTCATCCCCTAAACAAATTGCGGCATCCCAGCACATACACCCTCAGGTCTCCTTGAGCCTGAGGAGCCAGTAGGAAGCAAATTACTGTCCCGCTCACTCTCTCTCACTCTCTCCTCTCAACAATCAGTGCTGCTGATATTACAGACCCACACAGGCTGTAATAGAGGAGGGGGAGCTGGGCTGTGAACGATTGAAAAATCCTTCATTCTCTCTGTCCAGTACAGCCATGAAGGATTTTAGTAGCTCTTCTAGAGAAGCACACAAATCCACTGTACACATCACTTAGGTGAAGGTGAGCCTATGCCTTTCCATGCACTCTGAGTTAATGAGCTAATTATGTTGTGCTCTGCAGCATCGGAGGGCTCATCCTGGACAAAACGGTGTCTGACCCAAATCTGGCCGGCATTGTAGTGTACACCCCCGTTGTCAACGGTGAGTATTGACACCGCTTCCTTCTTTTGTTCTGTGCAGCATAGAGGTGTTGCTGATGTGCAGTCGTGTGCCCGGGGGGCATGAACAGACACGGAGGGGCTGGCTAAAGACCAGACCAAAGGTTTTAGTAACAGCTTCTTAAATCCTATTTATAAAACACACACATGAAAAATCCCACTCCTCCTTGAATCTCCCATCCTCTAATTCTTTCAGGATACAGCATTACAGTAGGGTTGGGCGATATGGTGAAATTTTCCGAGAATTTTAAGTCCAATAATCGACGATGGGCGATTATTGGACTTTTTGTGCAGACTTTTTGATGGGCGGGGCAATGTAATCATGCACGGACTAATTTGTGCGTTTACAACAGAGAAGAAGTCCAAACATGGACAAACGAATTACCAAAACAATATAAAGTCGCCACTTTGGGATGAAGGAGGTAAACCTAAGGATGTAACCAAAGCGGTGTGCCGCTTGTGCAGACGTATAGTGCGAGCAGAGGACTCAAAAACGACTAACTTGCATGAGCATGTACGCGTCCACCATCCGAATGTTTTTGTCTGAACGTAGCCACTGCCTTTCTTTCTTTCTTTTATGAGTTTGAGTAAATGAATCGCTGCGTTTGGGCGCACTCTGAGGAGGGTGCATGTGCTCGCAGATGAAAGAGGGTGCTGGTGAAACAGCGCTATTATTCTGTTGACTGCTTCTGTTAGCGCCATCATTATTAGCAAACTTACTCATGGGCAAATAAATAAATCGCTCTTGTAACCCCACTACCCACTCTGTGCGTGCGTGTGTGTGTGTGTGTGTGTGTGTGTGTGTGTGTGTGTGTCACATGGTTGCCATGAGTATTACATGTAGAGGCAGCACAGTGGTGCAGTGACTAGCACTGAGCTCGGTCCCACCACCTGGCTGTGGACTTTGCGTGGGTACTCCAGCTTCCTCCCACAGTCAAAGACGTACAGTTAGCAGGGTTAATATTAGTCCAGTGTCTTTATAAGACTACAGTTATAGAGAAAAACACTCGACACCCATCAGACACCATCCTCCCCATGAGCAAGCACTTTGGTGACAGTGGGAAGGAAAAACGTAATTTTAACATCGAGAAACTTCCAGCAGGCTCAGGGAGGGGCGGAGCCATCTGCTGCGACCACTCGCAGAGGTGGGACATGCTTTTTTCCCTCTTTAATATTGGCACAAATAGAAGTAATATTTCATGTGTCAAATGTTAGTGAATCAGGTCTCTAATATTCTGCACCTGAAACGAACTCCCAGAAATACGTTTGCAACAAGTTCAGTTACAAAAATCTCCGAGTTCCCGCCTCTTGCACGCAGTCCTTTGTAAATACCAGCAGTATAGTTTTTAATTACATTTATTCCTAGTTAGCTGTACCACAGCACATTAGTTAATCTGCTCCATAGGGTCTTAGTAAGGTGTACATGCTGCTAGAGCTGAACAGAACCCACCCTTTTCAGAAATGTCCATATCTGGTGTTTCTGCTCAACTTAATATGTGCCTTCATCTTTGTTTATGAGCCGTTTCTGCACAGCTGCTACTGTAATAGCAGCTGTGCACGGTACGAGACACCCTGTGAAGTCAGAACAGGAACAGTTTAGGAATAATCGTTATGGGCTTCATGTCCTCAACAATAGATTTGATAGTTACCAACTCAACTTTGTTCTTTCTGTGATGAGAGAGGAAGCGTCACATCCAGTCTGAGTGTAGCTGCTGCTCCTGGCACACCCTGGGGCTACACATGTTGTGGCTGGATGTGTGAACCATTATTAAGATAAAAAGTGAAATAAATAAATAAAAACACATAATTAAACAGACCAAACGAATTAAAATATGCCTCTTTTGATGTGGTCACGCTGAAGGCCTCGAGCCTGAGACATCAGACTCTGCAGTACATACTAACACAGGTAAGTGTAGATGGCTGCTGTTCTGAAAATTCAGCTTTAACAGATTCCTCCTGCTTCCAGAAATGAATTAACGAAGCACTGTATTCATCTCAAAAGTAAAGACACAATTGCGTGACCAAAGAGAAAGGCAGCGATCGACAGGCTGACCTGAGGAGTCCGGTCCATACATTTAAATGCAGGCGTTCCTGCAATAGCCAGCTGGGCGTCCATGCCCCACCAAGCTGCTCTCAAAGTCTGTTTGATCTGTTCCTCTTTTCATCTTATCACATTAAGATGCCTCTGCGTTTGTATGTGTAGCTTCTACCGTTGGCTTTTAAGATCACCTCTGTGATGGTTCACAGACACACTATTAAATAGTAGCTTAAAGGTGCATCACAGCTAAATATGTCCCCTCATAAAGCTTTTAACCTGAGACACTGTGCTAACCAACCACAAACAGTTTCTTGGTCCAACAACTGTGTTAGAAAACACGGCGTCATTGAAGCATGGTAATAATGTTGCATGTTGTCACTCTGTGCTATAATGTAGGCTTGGATGTTATTGAATGATCACACTCCCTGAAAGCCATAATTTGGGAACTTATAACTTAGTGTACATTTTTGGCAGAGTTCTAAATATGACGGCTTGGCTAACAGCAGTTCTTGTTTTTAATTTAGACCTCGAGCTCCTCCCCCAGCACATCGCTTTCATACTGGAGCAAACCTTTAGTTCTGGGTTGTGCTTTTGATTCTGTGCTGCTTTACTGAACTTATTTATGACGGACATCATTGAATGCAACCCAGAGTGTTTGGTGGCCACATCTCTGTCACAGCCTTTAGCTGGAGCTCCACTTGCTGACTGTGTTGATAAGTGGGCTGAATCAGCAGCCAGGTTCAGTAATGACCTGCTCTCCTCCACGTGTAGCAAAGCGCCCTGACGAAGCACATCACAGGGTTTGAAGACTGTCCTTTGAATTAGGAGAAGAACTGTCGCTGCTACCATCAGTTTAGACTTTGGCCTTTCTGTGTCAGCTCTTTAACCTATAACGTGCCTTGAAGCAGCTGATGTTGTGATTTAGCAGTTTTTGCAGCTGCAACTCAAACACGTGTGTGTGTGTGTGTGTGTGTATGCAGGTGTTTTCTTTGCTCTGGCCGCTCAGAGTAATTTAGCAGTATTTAACGTAAAGTAGTGAGACAACACTTAGCAATAATTTTGTCAGGAGGGATGTGTTGCACGTATTTAGTCGCACTGAAAATGAAATTGGAAAAGACCACTGCAGGGTCACCTGTGCTATGATAGAAGGTGTGGAAGTGATTTGGATTAAATGGATCTTGCCTTGTTGGTGCAGTAAAGGTTCCTGGTGGCCAAAGGGCTGCTGTGAAGGCAGACAAATGGCTCTCAGAGGAGACAAAGGCCACATCTAGAAATAATGGAAAAGCTCTCTGCTGGTGTGTTTTGGATTTTCTGTTTTTTCTGCTGTTTTTCTGACAGCGCTTTTTTCAGATCTTAATGAGCAGCAGCATTAAAGCGCATTTGATTTGACTGGAAACGAGCTGCTTAACGTGGAAGTTTGGGAACAGAGAAACTGCTTCTGTTGTTGTTTGTCTCATTTATCTCTCTCAGCTTTATAATTAATGCAGTCTTTGACCCTGGGAGCAGAGATGGAGACAAAGTGTTTCTACACAAGATGGATAACACACTGCAGAGTCTATTTGTCTTTTTCCTCTAGCTGCTCAGTTCCCAGGTGTGAACGTACGTGAATGTACGAGCAGCGGAGGGACGTGCTCGGTACACACTCCCTGGATAAACGAGGGTTACTAAAGAGCCTCCAGATGCTCATCACCATAAATAAGTTACCTAATGAGACTGGTTTAGGCAGACAGTTGGAATCCGTCTGTCTCCGGTCCTCTTCCATTTCCCCTTACCTTTTCCCACTGCCAGCGGGCTCAACCGCAGCTGCCAGGGCTCTGGCACCGCCACAACAACAGATAAGCTTTTAATTAAATGCCATTAATGAGAGACGTTTAAGGAGATGGAGTACGAACCTGACTCTAATTGGTTTTCTACTGAGACGTACCCCCGGCACAAAGCAGCTGTGGAACCACTGCGTGTCCGTTTGTGAGCACTGGGACTTTTTGATTTTGTTTGCACCGTTGGGAAAAGAAGCCATCTCCGATTTCAGGAATCGCAGAGCGAGTGCCTCGTGTCTTTTGGCTGATAAAAATGCACCAGCGCTCCTGTCCTAATAAAAGTACATTTGAAGAAAGGGCAGACGGAGCAGAGATGGGGAAAGCATGTGGATGTTTGATTAGCAAAGAGTGGGGGAGGGGGTGTGTAGGGCTTGGTAAGAAGGCAGGTTAAATGAAACATGGGGAGAGAAAGCCCTCTTTTCCCACACGGACCTCCATTATTTCGTTTTAATGCTTCAGGGTTATTTCGTTCAGTTTAAGCTTAACTATCCTGATACTGCAGGTTTCAAACTGGGTTCTGACATCTTTAGTATCCAGGGAGCGTCTGACGGTTTCCTCTTGTCCGCGTTGTGCGATGCACATCGCAGGGTTTTGTCATCTTTTGTTTCTTTTGATCTGAAATGCATTTTCAGGTGTGTGTCTTAGAGACTTTTATGTGACTTTGTGAAACGTGCAGATACATTATGCTGCATATTTTTGTACCAGACATCACTGAGAGACAGCCCAGTCTTTAATCTTTGCTTGTCATCTGGGCATATTTGCCTATTTTTCTTTCCTTCTGTTGTTTGCTTCAGGATAAGGTGTCTGCCTTTTTTACATCTAACTCCTACCAATAAGTCATCTTCTCCTTCATCTGTCAGTGTTTTTCTTTCATTATGCTTGTTCTGTATTTGTTTCATTCTGCCACTTTCTCATTTGAATAAACAATATAAATGAAACCTTGAGAAGAGAAGCCAAGATTCGCAGACCTTTGCTGCCACCACCACCACCTCCCTGCAGGCAGAGTGGCCCAGTTGAGAGCAGCACAGACCCCCTGTAGCTTCCACGAAGGTTTGCCGTGGCCCAGACATCCTCATCGCCCTCATTGCTCCTGTCAGACCAAGTGACCTAAATAAGCCAGATTGCCCTCTTAACCACCTTCAGCTAACTCTGCCCCCAAACTGTGTCGTTGAGGATGTCAGAATCGGTGCTCCATCACATCAACCAAATGTGATCATTTAACATATTTTTGAAATACCAAATTCAGTACTAAAATGAAACTTTCAAATGTATGAAGGTTGGAAAAACACTCTTGGCAAATTGGATGCTTAAATTGTCAGCCCACACATTTCCTTCCCTCCGTCAAACTCTGTGTTAAACATATTTTATCACACCACAAAACGTGTGTTGGAACACAACCAGCCTAAAATTATTCATATAAATATAAAAGTCATTTTTAAAATGGTGAAAAATATTTAACATGTCCTCTGAATAGCTAAAGGCACGTTGGTGACGTAGGCAGATGGTTGTTTGGACACAGTTGTACCTGCTGCTGTGGTTCTTTACAACCAAACCAATTTATTAAGTCTGACGTAGTTATCCCTTTCATTTTCCAAGTGATTCTTTCATAAGACAAAGGAGCACACAGATGATGAAGAACCAGCCCTGCAGGACAGCGTCTCTGGCTGTGGGAGTGTTTCTAATATTCAGTCAGGCTGACAGGCTGACCTGAAGGAGGGAACAAAGGTAGTGTTAGCCAAATGTTAATGCCTTGACCCAGAGTGACGGGTGGATCCTGGTAGTGGGTTCAATGTGAGTGGAGTTGCCCCCCCACCTTCTTCAAATCTAACAAAAGTGGGACCAAACGTTTGTGCTGCAAAAACGTTTGTTTGTGCTGCTTTCATTTAAAAAATATTAATAAAATAATGTCCTGATGCGTGCTTAATCATCGATTCTGTTCATCTGGACATTTTCAGTGGGAGAAGATTCTCGTCACTCATCCAGTGACTTCTTCAGTCTCAGCTGACAGCCGCTTTCTCCAACCTTATAAACAGGACATGTGCAGTGAAGAGAGATCTTACATCTGTCTCCACTGGCATCCCAGTCACGGAAGCGTTGGAGGTAGTTTGTAAGAGATTACAGGATCACCCCAACCTCAGCAACAGGACCGCTCTCAGCACTGATCAGTTGTGTTTGCTTTTGGAAGTGTGTCTTAATTCCACGGGTTACCCAGTTTCACCCATTGTGGCCAATTTATGCGTGGAGGAGGTGGGAAACCGGGCTTTGTTATCGGTCACGACAGGTGTGTGATGAGCCCTTTCCTCCTTTTTAAAATGATAGCAGCACAAACGTTTGATACCACTTTTGTTAGATTTGAAGAAGGTGGGGGGCAACTTCACTCACATGTGTGATCACTCTGTCATTCTCACATGGTTTTGGTTTGCTGTGATAAATGCATATGAGTGTACTAGTGCTGGGTGATATGGGGGAAAGCTAATATCACAATATTTTTTTAGCTATATCGCTTTTGGTGACCAAGTAGTTGTGGGAACCGACTAGTGTGCAGCGCCCTGTCGTCACCTCCAAACGTTTTCTATACAGTTCCCTTATAGCAGTCAAATAGTGCAGTCACTAATGCTGCTGGTGCTTCAGACAGAATGACAGCAGGACACAGCTTCACAGATGTGAACAGTCCCTCGAGTACGAGCCGCATTCATAACTGCATCGACTGCATACACATTAGAGCCCAGTCACTCGCTCTGTCTCTCTGTTGTTTTGGGTGTTTCACATAATATATCCACATGTTGATGAGATCTAACTTTCAGTGCAATCCAAACTCAAACTTGATCCAGCTCTTTTTCCCACAGCAGACAAAGCCAGGCCAGCTGCCCCTACTTCCTGTCTATATTTCTCCACTCTGACACGAGGTTCACATCATCTCCACATTGTACCTTTAAAGAATGGCATGGGATTGTGGCCGACGGAAACGGTGAGGACAGGAATGTGAGGGGACAGATGGCAGAGAGCGTGAACGCTCGTTGTGAAGTGATATCTGTTTACAGGCCCTGTGGGAGGGCTGCTAATGCTCCAGCGTCACCAGGCAGACAAAGAGCTTCAATAGATGGAGTTAAGTGGACATCACCCTGAGGTGGCAGCGGTGTCTAATCTAATATAGTCACTACAAAACGAATTTGGGAGGCTTAACCACGCTTCTTGTCCTTTGTATTTGGTTTCCAGCACATGATCACAGTGACCATCCGATGACATGTAGTCCTGTGAACCTTCTGAATAGCAAATACGTGAATTATTTCTGAATAAATCATCCTCCTTCCTGCCAGTTCTCACTTCCCCTGAACACTTCTTTATGTACATAACAGCAGTAGGACTTTCTTCTCTTCTGACCTGCTCTGTGTACACCTGTCTGCTAGCTGGTTCTTCATGTCTTTGTGTAAGTTCTCCTCTGTGGTTTAGTCACCACGCTGTGGCTACAGGAACAAAAACACAAGAAATGTGTTTGTGTGTCACCTGCTGAAGGAAAGGTGATGCTGAGGCACGTGAATATAACATCAGCATGTTTGTCAGTACAGATGGTGTTTCATATTTCCATCACTGATCATCTGCTAGATGATTAAATGCATGATGAAAAAATCCAAATCTAAAGCATTTTGAAATAAAGAAGATTGGAATCATTTCACTGTCTTGGAAAATATGCAAAATGTGAACATATTGAGAGCTTTGTGATGTAAGAGCAGAAACACCAGGACTCTTTGTTTACTTTGGCCGATAGATCCAGAGGAACATGAGACACAACTGTTCAGCAATAACCAAAGGAAACCTCACAACCCCCCGGAGAGGTGCTACATGCTAGCAGGCAGAGCCTTGAGGAAACTGGGGTTGTGCTAGAAACAAACCGATCTGAAAACGTGAACACTGGTAACCTGCTGGTGGTGAAAGCTTTACTTTAAAATGACAGACTCTAATTACAGTATAAGTACTTCGATTTGTAGTTATTTGTTGTAGCGCTCTAAGCTAGCTGTGGCCTTGTTGTAAGTCTCTATAACATTGAAGCAAAACCAGTTTCTGCTAACTTTGGGTTGATGGTGCTGTATCTCAACATGCAGAACTAAGTTCTCAGCAATCGTTGTTCTCTTCCTCCGTGATGTAAATGGACAACAGTCCACACAGAATCACAGACATCCTACATGCAGAGTTTCGCTACTTAATTTCTGTTTTCTGAGTTTGTTCTACATTTTTCATTTTGACCTTTCGTGGCACGTACGCAACAAATAGAGTCGACCTTTAAAAGAACAGGCGTCTCCTCTCAGCTACAGACATTTTTATCTAATTCTAACAGGTCTCACTGTTCACGATCACGTTTTATTTTTGAAAATCTTGAAGTGTTAGCGAAATATGTTGCAGAGCTAATGTGTCTTAGATTACCCTAAGCTATGCCCACAGGTTTCCAATGTTTAAGCACAATTAAAAATCAAGAAGCATTTAGAAAAAAAGAAGAAGAAGAAGAAGCGCCTTGTTGTCAGTTACTCATGTGCTCTACTTTGCAACCTGAGGTCACCTGTCTGTTTTTTAACAGCACTCCCTGCAGTGTCACAATGCATATCATTTCATAAAGTGCATCATGCATTATCATGACTCCAGCAGTGCCTGTTGTTTTACTCTAAAGCAGCGGAATTTATGGTTTTCAGGGTTTTTATCGTTAACTCGGTTTCCCCGCGTCTTTTCCTGTGTTGTAGTTGTGCGTCTTATTTTGAAAGAAATAGTTACGTGTTACCATAGCGACCAGAGGGCATTAAGAAGCAGAGAGGAGGATGTTACTCTCCATGTTGTTGGCACAGTTCAGGAGGACGCTGCTAATAAAGTTACACAGTGAATTCATCTTTATTATTATATTTACAAAATACCAGTTTTTGTCTCGGTCGTAGGATTTTATTTTGTTGTATTTATCCGCCACACCTTAAAGGCTGCAGCGTGAAAACATTGTCTGACATTAAACCGTCTGTGGAGCAACAAAGGTTGGGGAGCGCGGCTCTAAATAATATTTGGTACTGATTCTTATAGAGGACTTTTCTACCCTGGTGCACCGAAAGCACTTTATAAACATGCCTCATTCACCCATTCATGCAAGCATTCACACTCTGATAGCTGCATCAGAGAACAACTTTGGATATTTGGCATGCAGACTGGAGCAGCTGGTGGTCTGCTCCACCTGAGCTACAGCCACGCTTTGGGAGATATATTAGCAGGTTTTTGAACTCTTAAATATTGATGTCTTCTCACTTAGGAAAAGTGAAAAGTAGTGTTTCGTTTCAGCTTCATGCTGTTGTTGAAGTTATGTTGATAACTGCTTTCTGTAACGTGCAGGTATTGGAGGTAACCTGGTGGCTATTCAGTCCAGCAGGATCTCCACCCACCTTCATTTCCACTGTGCTCCTGGGGAAGTTCCCAATGAGGCCAAGGGCTGCTACTACCCCTGCCGCACATTCTGTGGTACAGGTCAGTACACACACACACACACACACACACACACACACACACACACACACACACACACACGTATACGTGTTTAAAGTAGGCTTGGATGTCATGTTTTATGATGGTGTCAGAATGATGATCAGGCTCAACTGAAGACTTTGAAACGAGCTTTTAGCCATTCCCCTGGCTCGTTCGTTGTGAGACCGTCTCCTGCAGGCGTAGATTAGCTCTGTGTTTGGAAGAAGCAGTGGGGGCAGCTGGTGGACTGTGTGAGCGAGTACAGTTTGTCACCAGCCTGTGTGTTTTTCAGAAAGAATAGAAGAATGTACTTTGGATCCCTCACGTTCAGCTCAAATTTTTTCGTCTTGTTTGTATTTTCTCAGGCGCCAATCATCGTTCTGCACAGATGCTCTTCCTTTCGGCCATCCCCGGTCACCTGATTTTCCTCTACGCCATCCACTTCATGAAGAGTGGCCACACAACCCTGACGCCCATCTTTATGTCTGTCTACCTAGCTGCTGCTATGCTGCAGGTGAGTGCACAGCCAGTGTAAAGAATTCTAGAATAACCCTTCCACATGAAGCATTTAAGCTCACTGGCTCTTTTTGCAATCTCAGACCTTAATGCTTTGTTATCAACACCAACAAAAAGGCATTGCTCAGGCTCCTCTGTGATTCCAGTTGTTTAAAGCTGTATAAAGTGACTATATGTGGTCCGACAGGCCGCTTTAGTGACAAAATATTAGGCTCACATTCATCAGTGTACAAAGGCTCTACATCAGTGCTCACCCTGATGTCTTCAGTTTGCATCAGCAGATTTTTTGCAACATCTACAAAGTTTAAACAGAAGAAATGATAGCATGTTTTTAATCCGCTGTGTTAATTGTATTTAAGAGGGTCAGCGAAAACAGCAACACCTGTGAACCTGTGTGAAAATATTCCGAGTCAGATATAAAAGGAAGATGAGTCTGTGTCTTCCTCAACAGCAGGTGGAGATGCAGGTGTGTGAGTGTTGTGGTTTGAGGCGGTGCCTGAAGGAATCTTATTTTGTGTTGGCAGCAGGTATGATAATTATGAAGGAGCAGCTTGAATTATGATTGGCTGCTTTCACTTCTTAGGTGCATCGTGATCTGTCTTTAAGGTCTGGAATTTGAAGAATTGACTTGGCGTGTGTGTGTGTGTGTGTGTGCGTGTGTGCGTGTGTGCGCGCGTGTGTGTGTGTGTGTGTGTGTGTGTGTTTGCATGTGCATGCGTGCGTGTGTCTCGGACTCTTGCTGTGCCCAAAGGCTTTTTCAGGCTTCCCTAAATCTTTAATGCAGACACAGAACATTAAGATGTAATCCTGGCCACTGAGGCATTGGACACTCTCCAAATCAATTAAGAGCAGAGCCGCTTTAAGGATCCTTCAGTCCCAAATAGAACATCAGATGGCAGAGACGACTCTCGGGACTGCAGGAGTAAAAAGTGTTTGTATCCAGCCTTTTTCACATTGAAGTCACCAAAGAAGATGACTGATCTGTTCAAGAGCTGAATCCTGCTTTGTGTGGGTCTTTCTGCACGTCTTCATAGATGGAAGTGTTTTAGGGTACAAATGTTTATTGAAGTAAGATGCAGAAATGGCTCCCAGAAGTACGTGCTTTGTCACGAGGTTTCTCCTCGTGCCATATTTAATCATCATTTTACACCGTCATATGGATGGATGCTAAACTCTGTAATATTCAAGAGGAAAATGTTGAATAGTAAATTCATATGTTTCAGTTTGCATTGTGTTTGCAGTGCCTGCACACGTTCGTGTCTCAGCCGTTTGAAGAAAATAAAAAAGCCACCGTGCTCCAAACAGCAGACAGACACAGCTGATGACACACTGGTAGCATGGTGGGGCATCTAGTAGCTAAAGAGTTAGAAAGAAGATCAGAAAAAATGAGCTTAAAGGGACTAAATATGACCACAAAAATGACCTGATGGAGGTTTAATACAAGTGGAACAGTGGTTCTGCGGCGCATGGAGCCACTACAGATGGCGTCTGAACGAGCAGGGAAAAAGAGCAAATATTTTTTATAGGGAGAATAAGCAAATACTTGTGTGTGCTTTGTCTCTGTTTTGCTCGTGTCAAACATGACCTCATGGGGCTTCCAAATAGCAGCGTTGGTTTACAGCACAGTGAACTGATCATGTGTTTACACTGAGAACTATTGAAGCAAAGCGCTGCAGTCAGTGAGCAGGTCTGCAGGGCTGGAAAACTAATGTGTGGGTGTGTGAGGATTATAAGCAGGGGATAGTAGTTTCACCTTCAGCGAGCCTCCGCCTGTAATGCAGACCAGTGCAAATGATGCAATGCCCACCAGCAAACTCACATGTGCAAAAAAAGCGTGACACTTTAAGGTCGTAAAGGGAGCGCTGGCTACTACTGTAAAGATGCATAATATCTGATTGCATGAGGAACATTAGTTTTAACACTGTTTATGACTTGGAGTAGATCGTTTCTGCACTGGCTCTGAGAAAAAGTAGCCTTGGTCAGTGCTCGTAAAAGACCCCGATGCACTCACTGCACATCGGAAGCTGAAACCACATTACCCACACGGATACATTTCATTTGGTTTTTGCCAGTAAGCCTTTTCAAAGAAATAAATGCTCAATTCAAACTGGCTGTGCGAATACCCAGTTGAGATTCAATATGGACTTATTTTTCCCACACCTTCCAATGTCGTTCCAAATTTTCTCCTACATTCGATGCAGCGCGAGACCCCCCAGAAAAGTGTGTAACATGGCAGAATTTGATAATGTCATTCAGTTCTACTTTAACTGTAGCAGTCTGCTTCTTTAATAGCAGTGATAAGCAGAAACTGCACATGGTACAGTTTGATAGCGTTCCATTGAAAGTGAAAGCAGAGAAAATAAGGGGAGAAATTGAAACATTCCTGCAAAATAGCCCGACTCATTGTGCTATCTCTGCCTGCTTCACAGTACAGTCACTAGTTAGGAAGGAAGAATGGGGTTGTGCATGTTTTGGCGCACGGTGATTAATAATTTTACATAAATCCATAGGGATTAAAAAAGGCCTGGAACATGGCAAGAGATGAAGCATGAAAACATAAACAAATCACACAAGACAGCACGATTTAATGTTAGCCCACAGCATATCCAGTATAAGAATGAGGCAATACTGAATAAACTAAGGCAACACGGTGCAGTCAGTGGTGGTGTGAAAGGGAAAGTAGAGAGTTTGACAGATTGGGATTGGAGCAACTTTGTCTGATGAGGTTAAACAAAGTTTAATAGTGAAGCATATGCATGTCTATGATAATGTTAATGGAAGCCAAGTTCCTGGATAACACAGAGGTAGTACACAGGAAAACATGAATCAATAATAACTGAGGTAACCATCTCTTACTCTGAAGACACGATCTCATTATTCCAGTGAGTGTCAGATCTTATCCAACTCAACGTAGTTTGGGCTCTCATCTGTCAGCAAGCGTTTGGTCCACAAACCAGTCAGCTTCACGCATGCATCAAAAGACAGTATGGCCAGGCTTTCTGAGGTCCGCATGACATTTTCCTATCAAGTACACCAGTATAAGTGTCCGCTCAAATGCAGTCAGGGTGTCTGTCAGGCAGTGCTCAGCAGCAGCAGGATCGTATTTTGCTAGTTTAATAGAGTAATTGCTGTGAAAGGTTGCCTAGAAGCAAAATACAGAGGAGTGTTTCTGAATGTGCTCAGTAGACAGCTCAACGCTCTCAGATGTGAAATCAGCATCATCGTCATCAAAACACCAAAACAAAGCAGATCTTATTTCCCGATTTGGCTTTGACTGCTGTGGGATGTGAGCGACAGCTGAAACGTGAATCCAAAAACAAACAATGCCTCGATTTTTGTGATGGTAAAATCCAAGAGATTTTACAACCAGCAGCAACTTTGGGGTTGAAAGATTACGCCTGTAGAGACGTGCCGAATAGCTTCTTGAGGCTGGCTCCAAGAGTCAGTCCCTTTAGACTTCCATGTTAAAGTGTATCATAACAACTGTACTCAAGACCACTGCTTTTTAATAAATCGCACTATTAAACTTTATAAATGCTTAAAGTTAGGGTTGTGGCTGCTGGCACAGATAAGTAGCAAGCACCCGGCTTTATCCCCGTCCCTCTTCCCCGCTCTTTTTCTTTCCCTCTTTCTTTCTCCCGTTTCTTTTCCCCAGTCAAGTCTGTCCCGTGTTCAGCAAATGAAAATAAAATGAACAATAAAAGGTGAATCAAATAGACCAATACGGCAAGACTGGGATGGTCCATTTGGTAAAGTAAATTTCTTTGGCTTTAGACAATAATTCTGATGGCAAAAGAACCAAACGGGACAGGCAAAAAAAAAAAAGCAAGCACCCGGCTGCTGGGTGAATGAAATTCACGTATTTCATTGTAAAATTTAGCACTGATGCCTAGGGCTGCTCGATGTAACGATATATATCGGATGACGATATTAAAAACGTCTGTCGTTTCATTTTACGCTATCGTTTGTTTCGTGGTGTCGCAAAATAAACTGTTTACGGCAATATTTGTTCATGGTTCTGATGTCACTGTAGTGGCTGTATTAAGTTCTTAAAGTTCTCTCTTTCTCTTATATTTAATATAACCACACTACGGACGGACAAGCGCCTATTTTTATGCGTTGTCGTTAGCAACAACGACGGTAAAACCATCGCCTGTCCGCTTGTTTATGTTCCACATAAACCTTTCACAATAAAGCTCAAGATCCTGTTGAGACTTTTCAAAATAAACTGAATCACGTGAAAGAGCAGATTATTTACGGATGAGAAGTAAAAAAGAGCCGCCAGGTGCTAAAAAATAAACCTTAGACTCAAACGTCAGAACAGGCTTCTCCCCGCAGCACGCCGTGTAATAAATACTCACAAAGAAAACGGCGCCGTTACAACTTATGTCTAAAAATGTATCGTTTCATGCATCGGTTATCGGGTAAAACACTCGACTCCAGCTACACGACGTCCAGCTGGAAACACTTCACCTACCTGAGATTCACAGCATTTACAGAAAATGTTACATGTTTGTGATTTATATCGTTATCGGACGATAGATGTCTTATATCGGGATATGAGATTCTGGTCATATCGCACAGCTCTACTAATGCTCCTCTGTGCTGGATCTATGTAGAGACTACACAAGTGAAAATGCTGTTGCCGGTTTCTGAGCAGGCTGCATCAACAGCACATGCATTATAAGGGAGGTGCACATCAGGTTAGGGCATAAGGTTTTAGAAGGGTTTGTGGTTACAACGTTCCTATGGCATTGATTTGATACAGACATATAAATCTAATGTCATTTATATATGCCTCTGTAACATGCATCCAGATAATCTCTGGATGCATGTTGCTTATCAGGCTTGCAGTAAGAGCCATGTGCCTGTTCATCTTAGCCCATATGATGCCTGACAGGAGCTTCCATGTAGTACTGAGGCAGGTTATTGGTCGGTAGTTGGAGGGGACCGGTCCCTTCTTGGGGTCCTTGGGGATCAGGACCGTCCGACCTTCGG